GTTCTTTCACGAACTAATTCAGAATCAGTGAATTACACTCGTTTAGTTCAATAGGTTGATTATTATCGCGATGTATTCTTGAAAAATAAATTCGTCAACTGTATTTAAGAACTAGAATGAGCGGTTTTATTTGAACCAAAACAAACCCAATAAAAAAAATAGTAATTAGTTTACCGAAGCACTCCTAATATGAGTAAACAAACGTTTTTCTACACAAAATTTTAATCGTATATAGGTTTTCCAGCAATGCACAATGAAGCACGAACTAGATTTTTAAGACTTAATTGGAGCACTTAAAATTTACCGATGTGACTTAGTTGAATACAATTCCACCATTTAACTGAAATTTCATATATTTTTTTTAAAATACATCTTAAATTGTTCATGTTTCTGAGCAAAAGAAAACCTACTACCTGTTTTTACACATTTTATAGTTTTTTTTTTTATAAAAAAAATATCATTTAATGTTGCTAAATTTAATTTTTAAATCGCTATTTTTTGAATTTTTTTCAAATTTTTCTTTATTTTGACTTTTAATAGGTAAACGCGATAAAAAAATCGGCTGTATTATGTTCCAATTTCACATATTCAATTCTATAATTAAATTGCTTATTGTTAAAAGGAACTAAGTCACCTTTTTACGTTTTTGACTTTAAAACATGAAACGAAACTTTAAAGACATTCCTTTGTTTCGGAAAACTTTGTTTCCATCTTCGGGTGCAGTCAAAATTTAAAAACATTAAAAATACACATGGGGACGATTACAAACAGTTTAAAAATGTTAAAATACCAGAAACCCCATCTCTTTTTTTTTTTTAATCAAATAAAATTTTCAAACCTATATCTAATTTTTTTTATGTGTTAATTTTTTGCACACCCCGTAATTAATATGTCATCTACAAAACAAATTACCCCCTGTAGTCTTTGAAATAAGGTTGCAGACCCGGAAGAAATTCTACAAGGAAGTCTATTTTAACACGTTGTTGAGGGATATCGCTGGTGAATAATAAGTAAAGAACAGGTCCTAGCACACTGCCTTGTGGGACACCTGCTTTAATTTCTTTCATTTCAGAGTATGCCTCGTTTTGCTTTACTCTAAACATTCTTACCATTAGATATAATTGTATGGAGCATTTTTTCAAGTTTCTGTATTAGACCAGCGCGCCAAATTTTATCAAATGATTGGTCTACGTCAAGAAATATATGTTTTTCCTCATAAGCTTTTTCAATGATATCAACCATTCTGTGTTTGTTTCTAAAACCAAATTGGTGCAAAAGGATCAGATTTTTATTTTCAATTATTGGTTTTAGTCGTTTTAGTAGTAACTTTTCAAATAACTTAAGATATTATCGGTAATAATGATGACACTTCATTCGGAGGTTTTCCTGGCTTAGAAATTAGGATAACTTCAGCTATTTACTACGCATCAAGTATATATTTAGGATGTATGTCAATTTAATAATGCCTTCCATTGTAATTTCTTTAATATTTTTCCAGTAATAAGATCATATCCTGTGGCTTTCTGTGAGTTGATGTTTGTCTTAATTTCTTTTGTAACTTCTTTGGGGAGTCTTGATTTTCATCTAATTCAGCCATATTCAACCTGCGGCCCGCGGGCCGTATGCGGCACTCCAAGCTTTTTTCTGCGGCCCGAAACACTATTATTAAGAAGCTATTTTTTAAAACAATTATTGGTTTGTTTTTAAAATCTTAAGCGAAACTCGTGAAAACATTCATCGGTCGCTGTGCTAAATATCATGCTAATTTTTAAATAAACGTTTGGATCATGGGGTTACTGCAAAAATAAAATATCTCCACTTTTAGCATTTTCGAGTTAAGTACACTTTCGTCTCCAAAATAGTTCAAATAATATACGGCTTAAACAAGACAAGTGTGAACGAAGTTTATATTCATGATAAGCAGATGGTCAACAAAAACTAACTGCATATTAATACAATAATACATATCGCACGCTCAGTAATAAAGTGGCATAACTCAAATTTAATAGTAAATAATTGATTGGTTAAGCTGTAAAGAGTAATTGGTCAAGCCGTAACGAGTGGGGATGCTAACGCTCATCTCCATATTAAAAATGACCAGAAGCACTTCTTAAATCATCGAAACACCAGATCCTTCCTCCATGAACACCAGCTTTTCGCATTGCTTGAAAAACCCAAGCCATACCGACAGAGGGATGTCTAAAAGGGTGAAAAAAGGCTTTGAAAATACTTATAAAAAGTGCAAAATAATGTATTGCACAATCTAGTTGTATCCAATAATGTTAAAGACATTTCCTGAAACTTTCACAGAAGCTAATGACACAGACATTGAATATTATGAATTGCACAGTGCACATGGAACTCGACAAGATTCGTATCGAATAGAGAAAGATTTTGTAGACAGCTAAAATAAGTTGTGACATTTTTTCTCATTTTTTTTGTTCCCATAGATTCTTAGTTTATATTGGTAAAGACTTGTTTTAAATTCTTTTTTTTTTTCAGTAATTGTTTATTAAACAGTGCTTTTACTGATTTTTTATTTAATTTTAAACTTTTGAAGAGCATTTTCTCGAAACTCTAAAAATGTGAGTTATCTTGTTTTTGCAGTAACCCTACCGGATATATTTATGTATTACGGTTTTTTTATTAGAGGTTCCCACTAGAAAATTTTAAATTGGTGGCCTAAATAAAGGGTCATCATCCAAAAATATTGCGGCCCATGTAACATAGCAAACATACGTATGTGGCCCGAAGGAAAAAAGGTTGAGTATGGCTGATCTAATTGGAAGGTCTTTTGAAGGTGATCAACGAAAATATCAGCTTTCTGTTGATTGGCTCTGCTATTTTGATAGGAAGACACTGTCTACACGAATTTTTCTTCTTTTCAGTTGCCTTCCAGAATGAATAATTAGTTTCTTTATCATCTATTAGCCCTACTAGGTATCTGTTGAAGAATTCTTCTTTGTGATTCAGGATTTCTCTTCTCAATCTGTATTTTTATCTTCTGGTGATCTTGTAATCTGCCATTTCTTTCTTAGTTTTCTTTTTCTTATATCTGTATACAGATAGGAAAGTAAAAATACATAATTTGAATATGTTGCGGTATTTTATTTCATTGGGAAATACACATACGGTTAGGTTAGATGAGTTCAGACCCGGATCAATTCTGACCCGGATGAGTTCTGACCCGGATGAGTTCTGAACCGGATGAGTTCTGACCCGGATCAGTTCTAACCCGAATGAGTTCTGACCCGGGTCAGTTCTGACCCGGGTCAGTTCTGACCCGGATCAGTTCTGACCCGGACGAGTTCTAACCCGGATGAGTTCTGACCAGGATCAGTTCTGACCTGGATGAGTTCTGACCCGGATCAGTTCTGAATCGGATCAGTTCTGACCCAGATGAGTTCTGACCCGGATCAGTTCTGACCCGGATCAGTTCTAACCCAAGTCAGTTCTGACCCGGATGAGTTCTGACCCGGATCAGTTCTGATCCGGATGAGTTCTGACCTGGATCAGATCTGACCCGGATGAGTTCTGACCCGGATCAGTTCTGACCCGGATCAGTTCTGACCAATGAAAAAAATATAAATATGTACTATTTCCGGTTATTTTGTACAACCTATTGCAGCACCTCCATAAATGTTTAGAGGATAAAATAAATATATACATTTTCCACATACATCTACCTCGAAACATTTTTCTATAGATGTTCATTGAAAATGAAAATACTGAAAAATTTAAATTAGCACTTTTCCTACAATTTTTCCATTACGGTATATTTTAGAAAAATCATGTATAAACAAACATTATAGATATCGATATCGCAAACAACTTTTAGAAGTAACTCTTATTTGAACAATTTTCTTCTCCAAACATAAATAACAGATATATTCCATAAAATATAAAAACGGCCTCCCATAAAGTACCCCCCCAGATGTTCCGACTTTGTCCAAAATCTAATCATTTCACGTGAGGCTGAAATAAAACTTAAGTTTAAAATTTAATGTTTTTTTCTTTATCCGTTTTTGAGTTTTCTTGAAATTTCAAAATTTACACATTTTCTCAAATATCTCGAATACGGTCCATTTTAGAGAAATTATGTATAGAATAAAAATTATAGAGAATTATATTACAAACAACTTTTATTTGAACAATTTTTATAAAAAAAAAATTTTTTTTACATTTTGTCAAATTTTTAGGAAAATTTTGTATAGAATAAAAATTATAGATAATAATATAAGAAGTAACTTTTATTTAAAGAATTTTCTTCCCCAAACGTAAATAACAGATATATTCCATAAAACTAAATCTAATCTTTCACTGGACGCTGAAACAGAGCTTAAGTTTAAAATTTGGTATTTTTCTGTGTATCGGTTCATGAGTTATGGGACACACAGACACACAGATATCATCGCGAAAATAGTCAAAACGGATTCAGGGGACCTCAAAACGTAAAAATCCGTCGAAAACTCGAGGTCGAAAAAAATCATGATTCCTATACTTTCCTTATATCTGTATACAGATAGGAAAGTAAAAATGGACTTAAAAACGTCACTTTATTTCTGAATACTCACAAAACATCTGCACTGTGCGTATAACTCAGTCATGCGTTCTTTGAATGATCTCGATAATCTTGTAGTTTCATTTAGCATTTTCAGATGTAATTTATTTTAATAACACAAAATATATTTTAAAAAAGTTATAAAATACGATGTTATGTTGGGAATGGGGTATTAATACACTGCGACCTAAAATAGCTTCTGTGACTAATGCACCAAGAAAATGTCTCAATGCATATAACGACCCATCCAATCCTATTTTCTCAAGGAAGTGTAGGATTTGGAGTGGCTTCAAATTAGGTATAAAATACGATACTTTTATGGTTGATAATAAATATGTTTTAATAAAAAATAAAAATATTTGGTAATGACTCATAATTTACGTATATGGTTAATACTTAGTTTCATCGTAAATTATATACGTATCTTATTTATTCATGATAACAATATCATCCGTTTAAATGATTATAAATCATTTATATTTTTCTAATGTAACATGAAAACTTACAGATTGTAATCAGTTTTTATCATGAAAACGCTAATTTTTTGCATATTTTTTATTAAAATAGTTTTAATAAATGGTGAGTAGTTTTTACTGTAAATTTAATATCATTTACATTCGTTTTGTTCTGAGGTATTTTTTTTACAATTTAATTATAAAGAAATTTCGGTAATTATATTTGACCAAATTTAATCCCTCCATCTAAGTTTCGATATTTTTCACCATCATCTATATCCAGGTTTATTTTTGTATATCTCTAGTTCTTATGCAAGTGGCTTTTGCTTGCTGCTATGTTCCTCTCCACTAATTATTTCCTTTTTTTGTTCTATCCTTTACATATCTAGAAATTTCGTGTACGATACTTCTATTTTACCATCCTGTTACTCTTTCTAGATGATGGCTAGTATTTTTTGCGCCTATTTTATGAAAAAACTATAGATTGAATATGTAAGGCCATATCAGTCTGCTTCATATCCGTCCTTGAATGTTTATAAATCCAATCAATCACAGCTCATGTTTAATACTCTGCTATTTTTATAAAATCTTAAATCAGTGTCAATTCTGTCAAACTATTTATAAATGTAATTTTGGTAAAGGTAAAATACAGGGTGAGGCACCGAAACGAAACAGATCGCATATCTTGAAAATACATTTTTTTTGGGGAAAATGCAAAAAGAGGTCGTTTTTTATTTCAAAGGGGACATCTTTCGATCATATCTTCAACTATCCTACATCCCTCCCCACCCCTCTGTCACTATTATCAATGAAATTGAAATAGGGAAAGTACTAAGTGTGACACATCATTGAAAAGGTAATTTTATAAGGAATCCAAGGTATCCCGAGTCAATAGATCCTTTTAACACATTCTGTTGAACAACTGTCTCTAATACCCAGACAACACACCAAATCCCAGAGATATCCACAGAATATCTTTTGTGGATATCCAATATATTCACAGGATATCAGAAATATTCCGTGGATCTAATATGGATATCCAAATGTCCGTCTATATCCAGAATAGAGAAGATATCCTAATGGATATCCAGCAAAATATCTAATGGGCATCTTCCAGAAAATACAAGAATACACTCTGCCTTTGCTTTTGCACACTAAGGAGAAAGTCGTCCTTACTAGGACTCCAGCAATAAATGGAAATTCTCGACTCCAGTCTTTAATGGAGTCTCTGATTAGAACACAAATTTCGATCAAACTCAATTATCGAGCATGAGTAGATGCGAAAGTGGTATCGCCATCTATACTTAGTAAGCAAAATCAAATAACATCTAGTGGACATCCACGATGGTTTGGATTCGCGCCTAGACTTTGATATATTTAGTGGATGTCCATGGGATATTGAATACACCTTAAAAAATTAATTTTAAATATCTGAACGGTACTATTAGCCACAATAGCGAGCACAATGGCGTAATTTTTTAATAATTTGCTGTATAATTACTATTATTTATGGACATTTGCATGTCTATAAATTACATATCATGGATATAAAATAGATATCCACCATGGACTGGACATTCAGTGGATATTGGGATGTGCAGTAGATATCCAAAGGTTTTGGTGTGCTGTCTGGGTATGTGTCACTGAGAGCGCAAACGGTATATAGACGCCAAAAGTTTGAATGATGTTAATGGCTTGAATGGCACTTAAACAGAAGATCGCATTTGTACTTGACATACGTGTTTTGAATAGTGTTCATTTAAGTTTTGATCAAAATAGTTATTTTTTTTAAAGTCTCTCTCTCTCTCTTTCACTCTCAGTTTTTGTATTGTTGAAGAATATTAATGTTCTTTGTTTGTTTATATTCAGCTAATGTGCCCCAATTGGACGGACGCATTATAGGAGGAAAAAATGCCAATATTACAGAATGTCCTTATCAAGTATCATTACGAAAATATGATTCACATATATGCGGTGGAACGATATTTCATAATAAATATATTCTAACTGCTGCTCACTGTGCCTCAAAGTAAGTTGGTATATTAAAATGAGTCTAGTAATATTGTTTTTCTACACCCACATGGATTTTAGCTTAATGAAATTCACCAATCACAGTTCAAATTTTGGACAGCCAACTACTATTATTTTTAAAAATTTAAATAAATGTCAATTGTCAAACTCATTATGAGTATATTTTTCAGTTATTGAGATTAAATATACATTAGAATGAGTTATTTTTGTGTAGAATCAATAAATTATAGCATCTTTATTTTTATTTGGTCCACATTTTGAAAAAATAAATAAATTTTAATCAAACTATATGAAACTAATTTAATTACGAGCATTAATATTAAAATGCTAAAAGTGGAGGTTTGAATCTTGGCTGGTGACTCAACTTTTTTTTTCATGTTTATTTTATTTTATAAATTAGTAAGATTCATAAATTATTTTGAAATAAGTTATTATGTCTAACTAATCTAAAATTTGTTTTCAATTTGTAGATTTTCGTTAGTGGGTCGTAGAAAAATTATATACTGTATAGTCCATATTCACTCTTGTTGCACAAACTACTATATACTTTTCTGTTTCTTTAGTGGCGTTGCTAGTAGTTTCAGCATTAGAGCTGGTAGCAGTTATTCAATTAAAGGAGGAACAATAGTTAAAGTATGTTCCATATATAATCATGAAAACTATAGTGCAGAGACGATGGAAAACGATATTGCGATTTTAAAGGTATAAGTTACTATATGTTCCTATTATTCCGACGTAAAAGGATTGGCACATTTTGTATTGATTTTGAGCACTGTCAGAATTCGTTCAAATTTAAATATGTTTTTAAAGCCATTAAAGTAAACTTTTTTTAGAGACCTAACATATGAAACTCAAATAATAATAACGAATAACGAATAACGAATACCCAGACAGCACACCAAATCCCAGAGATATCCACAGAATATATTTTGTGGATATCCAATATATCCACAGGATATCAGAAATATTCCGTGGAACTAATATGGATATCCAAATGTCCGTCTATATCCAGAATATAGAAGATATCCTATGGATATATTCAGCAAAATATCTAATGAGTATCTCCAGACAATACAAGAAATCCCAGATATATCCATAGAATATATTTTGTGGATATCCAACCAAATGTCCGTCTATATCCCAGGATATAGAAATACAGATAAATATTTTATAATTATTTTTAGTAGAGGTTCATAAGTAACCAATGGTTATTGAATAACGTCGAAAGAAAATAGAGGTAAAAAATATTCCCAACAATCTGCCTTTGATTTTGCCTACTAAGGAGAAAATCATCCTTATTAGGAATCTTCAGCAATAAATGGAACTTACTTCACAATTTAATTTCAAAAATGTTACTGCTGAATCAGTAAGAAAATCCCTTCATCACATAAAAAGTAACGCTGTCGGTCTTGATGACATTTCTTTGCGCATGCTACATTTAGTCGAAGATCATTTACTAAATTATTTAACCTTTATTTTTAATAAGATAATCTCAACATCAAAATATCCTAATGCATGGAAACACGCTATAATACTCCCACTAGCCAAATGTACTGAACCGTCAAACCTTTCTGATCTCCGACCAATTAGTATTTTACCTACCCTTTCCAAATGCTTTGAGAAAATACTCAAAGATCAAATAACTGAATACGCCCATGAAAAAGAAATAATAAATTCCGCTCAGTCGGGTTTCAGGAGACAACACAGCACTACCACCGCCCTTGCATCCATTACTGATGACTTATTCCATGCAACTGATCAGGGCAAAATTACATGTTTGGTTATGTTGGATTACAGTAAGGCATTTGATACTATTGATCATAAAATATTATGTAATAAACTTAGCCACTACGGTTTTTCCTTAGAAGCTGTTGCCTTGCTTTCAAACTACCTTAACAATAGAACTCACAAAGTTAAATTAGATCATGAAACATCAAATGCCTTACCTGTAACAAAAGGGGTACCTCAAGGAACCATTTTAGGACCAACTCTTTTCTCCCTATACATAGCGGATTTTCATAGTTTCGTTAAAAACTGCTCAGTACACCATTACGCGGACGACACACAGATCTATTTATCTTGTAATATTGACTCATTGGTTTCTTTTCAATCTAATTTTAATAATGACCTCAAAAGTTTATTTAACATTTCTGCGGCACACAATTTAAAATTGAATCCTAGTAAATCTATTGCCATTTTATTTGGTCCAAAAAAAGCACGTGAAAGAGCTTTACAACAATTGGAAATTAAAATAGGCGATATTCCTCTTTTATTTACCAACGAAGGAAAGAATTTAGGTTTGTGGCTAGATTCTAATTTGCGATTTAGCAAGCACGTTAATATGTTATCCCAAAACTGTTACAATGTGTTGAGGTTGATATATCCTAATCGAGATTTGCTCTCCACGAAAATAAAAATAAAACTTTGTGAATCATTAATTTTTTCTAAACTTTTTTACTGCGACACTGTGTACGGCCCAGCATTACTACAATCTGACTCTTTGCGTTTACAAAAAATTCAAAACAGCTGTTTACGGTTTGCCTATGGTATCCGAAAATTCGAACATATTTCACATAAAATGAAGGAGTCAGGTTGGCTAACACTGTCTAACTACCGGTCGTTACACTTGCTGGTATTAGTTCACAAAGTTTTAAAATTACGGAAACCGGAATACCTTTTCACAAAATTAACTTCTTTTCCAATATTAATAACTATCCCACTAGAAACAGAACTACATTAGTAGTACCCATGCATAGTACCACATTATTCGAAAGATCATTCTCGTACGTTGCTAGTAAAAAATATAATGACATAACAGCGGAATATAGATCCTACAGTATTCTTAATTTTAAGAAACGTCTCAAAGAAAACCTTTTAGCTAATCAATCTGCATTATAAAACGAAAACATGAACTGTCAAGAAATAGGTTTACTCTCTTGAAAAATAATTTTTGTATATATAATTTAAGCTGTTTTCATCAATATTCATTTTGTGTATGAAATAGAATGTACTTATTTGCGTTGCAGGTTAAGTTGAAAAACAGCCTTGTGCTGAACTTCGCCTTTTCATCACTTTCCTTCTTTTTTTTTGTTATTGTAAATGTGTAACTATGATGAATAAAGACCATTTATTATTATTATTATTAATTATTATTAATTATTAATTATTATTTTTTTTTTTTTTTTTTTTTTTTTAATTTGGTGTCATCGGCGTCGACTACTACGGCCATTAGCCTCGTGTTCTGTGTAGGCTTTGTTACTGTTTCCCAGCGCCACTTTAGGAACAGCACTGTTAATTAGAACCCAACAGTGAATGGTCATTATTATTATTAATTATTATTATTATTATTATTATTATTATTATTATTATTATTATTATTATTATTATTATTATTATTATTATTATTATTATTATTATTATTATTATTATTATTATTATTATTATTATTATTATTATTATTATTATTATTATTATTATTATTATTATTACTTCTCGACTTCAGTCTCTAATGAAGTCTGTTTGTGAAACAATGTCGATCAAACTCAATTACGGCGGGTTAAGCATGAGTAGATACGAAAGTGGTATCGCCATCTATACTTAGGAAGCAAAATCAAAAATTACATCTAGTAGATATCCACGATGGTTTGCGTCCGCGCTTAGACTTTGATATATTTATATTTATAGTGGATGTCCATGGGATATTGAATACACCTTAAAAAAAATTAATTTTAAATATCTCAACGGTACTATTAGCCACAATGGCGAGTACAATGGCGTAATTTTTTAATAATTTGCTATATAATTACAATTATTTATGGACATTTGCATGTCTATAAATTACATTTCATGGATATAAAATAGATATCCACCATGGACTGGACATTCAGTGGATATTGGGATGTTCAGTAGATATCCAAAGGATTTGGTGTGCTGTCTGGGTAACGAATAACGAATCATGATTAATAAAACACGTATGTACGTACAGTGACGACTACTGAGCGATTTTCAATACGTTTAGCTAATATACAAGTAAAAACTAGAGAAATTTAGCAATAGTGCAAGCAGGAAATGAATATTACTAACCGGCACCGCCGGTATTATTCGTTTCCTGCTCGAAATAATGTTAACTATATGTAGTTTGTAATTAATAATATTATTATATTTTTTAGTTGTGTACACCACTGACTTTCTCAAATTACATTTTACCTATAACTTTGGCAGACGGTTCAGAATCCATTGCTGCTGGAAGAAATGCCCTAGTTAGTGGATGGGGTTTTAAAATAGTAAGTTTTTTTAATATGTTGACACCTCATAAACCAAATGACGTAACCCTCAAAATGTAAATTTTACGGGAGAGTAAAAAAACCTAATATAATTTAAACTAAAAACATCTTGTGGGTGATATGATATTGTTATGCAGTTATACAGTAGTCTGCGGCTGTTATAGGAAACGTACAGATAGAAAAAGAAGTGGAATGTTGCTCATTGCCCTATAGTGTGCTGCGGTCGTCATAAGTTAAAGTACAAGTAAAAGAAGATAGAATATTCCAGTAATGTCTAGAAATGTCAAGAATATTCTAGACGACAGTTCGAGAAGGTTCGAAAAGAGTCAAGCAAACTATATAAGGATGATCCTGACGTCAGTTTTCAGTTTTATGATAGACGTTACATGTTAATGTTATCAGTTGTATAATTGTTGTTAGAGTTGAGTTGAAATAAATTAAGATACCAAAAACCTGTGTAACAATATTTTTTATCATGCTTGTTTTTAGGCACTAAATTTAAGTCTACTAATGATTTTGGCCCCGTGCATTCGAAATAAGGATTAAACTTATTTTCATAATTGAGGTTTACACCATTTGGCCTCTAAGGTGTCGATATTATAGTATAATTCTTTTTGGTAATATATTTTAGTAGTAGTCAATTATTAAACTCAGAATAAATTCTCCAACTTTTGTAGTTAACTATTTGCTTTTGTTAGGAAGAAGGTGCAGTATCGAATATCTTACAAAAAGTAACAGTACCCTTCATTACCAATGCTCGCTGCAAAGTACTTTATCCTGATGAGATAATAACTGATGGTATGCTCTGTGCAGGACTTGGCCAAAAAGATGCATGTCAGGTAATTTTAAAAAATAATGGTTTTCAATAGAATTAAAAATGTCTAATAGTTTACCACCATCTTCAATAGTTGAATAGTATGAACTATTTTTGATAGTTTAATTCTTTAGACCAGCTATTCATTGATAAAATATAATATTCATGCTGCCAAGATTAATTCGACAGTCAATACGCTCTAGTTGTAGATCCTAAGTGAAGAAGACGTGGGGTGAGAGGTAAGAAAGGTCATAAGAGAAGAATTTTACGGCGACACAATTTTTTTTATCAATGAATAAATGTGTAAGCCAGATGTAAGCACTTGTGCGCTTACAGTAAAGAACGTAGAAATTCAAGCGGGTGTAAGCCCTGTTGCTACATCCAACTTAACATTAACTAGGTTTTGGAAATTATTAAAATTACATATAATTTAGTGAAATTACATCTTATTTAGTTAAATTTGATATAACTAAAGATTTAAAAGTTTTTGGGTCCAGTCGCAATAAAATAAATTGAATTATTTTAGTTTTTTTTAAGATATATGTAAATAATTTTGTAAATAAAACGAGAATAATGAAATAGGCTTATAACAATAGCGGATATTATATGTCTTATTCACTACAGCACGATATTTGTTAGTATTTACATCTCTTGTTATCTCTGCTTCAGACACTACTTTATATTAGCTAGTTAGTTATTCTAGGAAACGTTAATATTACACGACTGTACAAAGAAATTTTCGTTCTGTTTTGTCCTAAAGTTTATTTTATGATTTTCCTGTTTGATATGCATAAAAATGAAGAAAAAAATACCTTTTTTCCATGTAAAGTTTGCTTTTATTATAATAATAATAATAATAATAATACTCATTTTTAAGTTTTTATAAGAATTTTAATTTATTTAAAAATACCGCGAGTTAAAGTAACATAATTTTTATTACTGCTTTTTTGCCATTGTTGTGAACGTTCTACGTTTTAACAACTTCATTATCACATTTTTAAATTGTAAGATTTAAGATTTTCTTCATACCCATACATATCAATTGTATTTTCTGTTTTATTTTTAGGGAGATTCAGGAGGTCCGCTACGGGCGAGTGGAAAACTAGTTGGAATCGTGTCATGGGGTTATGGTTGCGCAAGACCACAATTTCCAGGTGTTTATACAAAAGTTGCAAAATATAGAAAGTGGATAAAGCGCTACACAAATTATTAGAATGATATATTTAGTCTTGTATATAAATGGAACTCAAACTTATTGTTTTTTTTTTTACAATAAACCTTTTAAAAAGATTTCGTATTCCTACAATCATTTAACTGGCTATCAGTAGGATTTTCACGACGAGAGATGACAAAAATCGCGTTTTCGGTTGATTATAATCGTTTGAGTGATCGAGAAGTTTTTGCAGAAAAGAAATTTAAGGGCAAGTCTCAGAGTAAGTAAGTAGTAAAGAGAGGACAGTAAACAATGTTTGTGTCGCCATGATAATATGGTCGAGAATTCTAATTAGAGAGAAATAGATTAATATCTCTATCTCTTTGTTTGTATTTGTCAGTTTTACAAAGCTTTTCTCAGACAATTATTCCAGTGTTTAATTTAAATTTGTTCGTGTTGTGGTGTTAAAAGTAATTGTTATTAATATTATATTCATAACAAAAGTCATATTTTGTTTTCACTTCATTAAAAATGGACCTACCTATCTTTTAAAACATTTTATTTTATATTCTATTTGGTCAACATTTTCGCATTTAAAATGACCCAGCGAAATTGCTTTACGGTACGCTACTGCTGAGAATTCTAAAACGAGTGAGAAAGCCTTCATTATAAAGAGAGATACTGATTATATGATATCGAGATTAATATTGTATAACTTTATGCAGTGGTGGCCTATCTACTATTATATTATCTAAGGGGCAAGTTCAATTTCGTTTGACATATAATCACGATTTTTTTTAGGTTAGAAAATTGTATTATCGATTTTTTTCATTCGAAGTAATACAAGACGTCACTTTAAATTTCTATCTCTTTATGTCAACAAATATGTAACACGATGAATTTATAAAACGTATGTCACTAATGAATATGTGGCGGCAACTGACGGCAACACTGTCAGCTACTCCATGGCTACTAGAGTACATACAGGTCCGGAATAAGCCATATATAAATGCAAAATAATAATTTAATGTTTTGATTGAGTTAAATAAAATATCAAAATTAAATGTTTATTTTTTAGTAAACGACATTTTTAAATGTATACGTCTTTAATCAAAAATAATATAGGTTTAGGGTGAGATTACAGAACTTTGCAGATCTACAAATATGGCGTACTTACAGATGCAAGTATCCAAAAAATATCTGAAATTCCCAATATTTATTACCCCTAACAACACTAAATCCAAATCCACCCTTAAGAAGGTTAGAATAACATCCTACAACCATGAAGTCTTCCGTTTCTTTTGATTGAATACAGTTCATGGTGTCAGACTATCGAGTTTTTAAACATAGTTATGGATTTGGGTTTAATGTTGTTGGGGGTAATAAACCACAATATATATTGCGAATTTGCAGATCTTTTTTGGAAAACGAAAACTTGATACATGCATATGTAAGTCCGCCATATTTGCAGATCTGCAAAGTTACCGCCATATTTGCAGATCTGCAAAGTTGCAGACGTTCTCTAATCTCACCCTAATACTCAAGTGTATACAAATGTACTGGACAAGAGATATTTTTATCCTTTACTCCAGTTTTTTGTAATGAAACCAGCGGTAAAATAGATATTTGTGTACCAAGGCGTGACCAAGGCTGTGTTTTGGCCGAATTAGATATATGCGTTCGAGTCTAAGCTAGGCCTGGTTAAGTATAAGAGTAATAGGCAAGAAACGGGTGTTCAATCAAACTTGACATCGAGATAGATGTCACATAAGCAGGTGTACTGAAGATGAACTTTGCAGGACCAAGCATCAGATAGGTATAACACTTGATATTCTGAAAACTATGCATACTACACTGAATAAGAACGAATGGAAGTGTCAGAAGGAGGCTAAAGGCAAAAAATAAACGGAACAGAGCCGAATAGATAAATAAGTAATATTTTAGCCAGGAGAGAGTCGATGAGTGTTATAAATATAGTTAATTTATGAATCTATTTTTAATGTATAATTTCAGTTTATTTTCATTTTTGATATAAAACTATGGCTGACATAATAAAACTCTTAAAAGTATATATATTTTCAATCTATATTACTATACATTATTTAGTTTTCATTTATTCTTTCTGACCTAGGGAAAAGGTTAGAAAACCCTGGTCATAATTGTTTACAATGTTGGTGTTCCTAATGATACAAAACATTACAGAGGAATGATACTTAGCCGATGAAATCTCATCGAGTTCACGCATGACGTATTGTGGTATGGAATATGGCTATCTCTGATGCATCTGCAGATTTAAATTTATTTTTGCGTACTGTTTTCTATCAACTGATACCCCAAATTTATACAAGCCACGTCTTCGCACCACAATGTGACATAGCATCAAATCTGCTTAATCTCGTACCATTTTTTTAAAGTATCAAAGATATTCTTGGTGTAACTGATCATCATGTTTCGAGTCACTGAACCTAAAAAATAACAAATATCAATAAATAGAATTCGGAATTTATTCCAAAAATATTTTTCTTTGGGAATTATATAGGATTTCTCGTTAATATACTGACAAACTTTTAAAGGTGGTAGGTGCATCAAAATAAACATTTTTTTGCTTAATAAAATAAAAATAATTTTATTGCCCAACAAATTAATCCATTTACAGAACAAAATACATGAAATAAATGTTAAACATAATATTTCGACAGAAAATAATTTTAGCAACAGCAAGAAGAAAAAAAAAAAGAAAAGAAAAGAAATAAATATCCCAATCTGAACAAAATTAATTAAAATTTGAGCACATTAGCGTTATAGGTGAATTTCTTCCCAAGTTCGTTCAAATACTTGCTGTATAAAATGTTTTATAATATCTAATGGCTCTTTGGGGAACATTAAAATTTATTTAATTTATCAAAAATAGTACATCAATAGTGTTATGTAATATTTTATAAAAAAATGTAACACTGGAAACTACCCTTCTATTTTCGAAAGAAGCAGAGATTCTTCAATACCTCGAATGGGATACAGCTCATCTATTTTAAAAGAAAGGTACTTGAGAGATCGCCGCTGAACATTTTCCAATGATCTTTTATGAATATTGTAAATAAGGTTCCAGATAAGAGATGCATATTCTAGCCTGGAAAGAACTAAAGAAAAGTAAAGGATCTCCAAGCTTTAAGAGTTTGTAAAAGAACGAGTATTACGAATTAAGAACCCTAAGCTTTTCAACGCAGAAGCAACTGTATTTTCAATATAATCCGAAAAAGTAACTTTTTGGTTGAATAATATACCTTAATCTTCAATTTGTGCACAAGTCCGATAAATGTAGGCTGTTAAATAAATAATCAAACTCCACCTTGTTAATACTTCTAGTATAGGAACATACTTCACATTTAGACCCATTCATAAACAGCTTGTTTTCATTACACCAATTTTCAACGATTCTCAAGTTGGGTCTGTAAAAAGTAACAGTCTTGAATTGATGAGATTGAGATAAATATTTTTAAGTCAGCAGCGAACAACAGGTTAAATTTATTGCCAAGTCATTTATAAATATACTAAATAATAGTGGTCCCAGATTGGAGCTCTGTAGAACTCCAGATGTTGCTGTGAGGGGTAAAGATGAAAATCCGTTGTAAAAGACATAATTAAAACGATGATTTAGGTAAGATGAATATAATCTCAACAGCGACTGATCAAACCCTAAGCATTCCAACTTCCTTACAAGAATATTATGATTTTTAATTATTACAAAATACATTATGTATGTACAAAAAATATTCTAAACATATTTTAACTAACAAGAGTTTTATTTTTAACTAGTTATATTTAAAAACAAATGTCATTTTTAAAACTATGTTTAACAATAACCGATGAGTATACAACAAGGTTCACAGTTTAAACTAAGTCTACATTTTAACTGCCTATTGTACAATCCGCCATATGTACAATTCAAAATTAATTGTATTTCTTTAAAATGCACTCGATTCTGTTGATCAAAATCATTCGATAAAAAAATTAAAAAGTATTGGTATAAAGGTGGTTTTTATATCTATGATATAAAGCATGCATTGGGGTAGCATGTAGATTATCTAAGTATCAGGTCAGAGAGAATAAAATTAAATAACATATGTAGTGGGATTCTCATCTTTTGAGTACGTCTCCTATTGAGACTCCTATCTTTGTTCGACAGACAGCGATTTTGATGTAATGTCTCTCTCTATTCTGTATGTAATGTGTCGAGTTGGCACAAAAGAATCGCTGTTCTGATCAGAAGAAATTAACCACATCAAAGGAAGAAAACTAGGTCCCCTGTTATTTTTAATTTATTTTAATGATTGTTAATGTTGCAATAATTAATGACATTTACCTGTTTGCCTATGATGTCCTTATCTATGTTTCTTGTAAGTTGTAAGGATTCAGATAACTAAGAGTTAATTGTCAATGAAACTCTGCAAAATGTTTATAAATGATGTTGCAATCATTTGTTAAAAATCAACACAAATACCTAAAACAAAATATAAGCTTATAAGTAATAACTATATGCAGTTTGTGGACAAACAATATAGGAAATTGGAAGAAAATCTATACAGTTAATTGAAAAATTCAAATATTTAAGGGTAATTATTCGGAAACAGATGAAATTTACAGACCATATGCAAATACTGTTATCAAACAATTGCAGTTAAATTTCATTTCCTATTTAGAATATGTTATTAAAATAATTGTTATATTATTACATTATTTTTTACTAAATTTGAATATTGTGATATTAGCAAACTAGCCAAATAAATAAAAAAAATAAAATAAAAACCGAAAACATACCTGGATCTACAATAATATATATAAATAATATAAGTACATTGCATCTTTTAAATTATTAAAGTCCATTAAATTGAAATGACACGTCAAACCATAAACGTCAAACTTTCAAAACAAACATGCTTGTGTTGTGTTCCAAACAGAAAATAGCATTTATAGAATAATTTATTTACTTGCAACCTTTCCCCGCACACCACCTCGCTCCTCACCCATAAACATGGTCAAATTGGGCTAAGCCATTTTACATTCGTCTGCATAGGGAGCGATGTTGCAATTTTTCAATTTTT